ATGTAGCTACCAGAAATTTTAAATTACACTTGTAGCTCCCACACATTTCCACTGGACGGCGCTGCTCCGGAGGCTCACAAGTGGATCAAGAGGGCACCCTCTCCCCACTCTGGTGTTCTCTGGGACCACGTGTGTGGGGATGGTGTTCGTCGTGATCACGAGGGAGTCTGAGGCTCAGTTCACTTTCCCAGGACTCGCACAGCAGCTTTGCTGAGAGCAGGTTCTGTTGAAGTCCCCCGATACAGATGAGGAAACCAAGGCTTGGGGAGGAGCGGAGACTTCCGGGTCAATCAGCCCACAGGCAGCAGCACTTCTCCACCCTCCTGCTTTGTCCCATCCCATAATGATCCAAGGTTGTCTGGTGGACAGTGAGCCAAGTGCAGATGGGTCCTGGCTGAGACTCAAATGCCTTTGTTGAAGGAGAAAGCTCTCTACAGACTTGGCCATGGACCTCACATTATATAAGCCAAGACTATGAACAGCTCCCCTGTGGCTGCAGCTGACCAGCTCTCTGCAGGGCCCTGGGGGATCCCCGAAAGCCTGAATTCCACCGTTAGTCTCTGGCTCCTGTCTGGTCTCTTGGGGAAGGAAGAGAAGCCAACTGAGAGGAGGAGGTGGAGCTGCAGAGCTCGCTCCCTGGTGCACCAGCTCTGTGCCCTGTGAGTTTCGGCTTCTTCACCCAAAAAGTGGGTTGTAGGTTTGCTCTGAGTGTGAAACAGAGAAGGATTCCAATCACGGGGAACAGGGCCTGCACACAGCACACCACAACAGAGGCCAGCTATTACTATTTTGTGAAAGTGCTTTGAAAACTGTAAGGCACCGCATATTCCTGGGTGGTGGTGGTTACAGGCAAATGGAACCAGGATAGAGCTCTTGAGGAACAGGCATTTATATCACACATGCACTGAGGTGGCAGACTGGCAGGAGCAGGACCACGGAGATGGGATGGATTCTAGGGAAGTTAGGGACGGTCAGACACGGCTGTGGTCCAAACCTAGAACTACCAAAACTCTAATCATTTTTTGGAATGTGGTTAAAGTAATGATGATGATAATGATGGCGGTGATGATGATGATGGTGATGATGGCGATGGTGATGGTGATGGCGACGATGGTGATGGTGATGATGGCGATGGTGATGGTGATGACGACGATGGTGATGGTGATGATGACGGTGATGATGGTGATGGTGGTGGTGATGATGATGGTGGTGATGGTGATGATGGTGGTGGTGATGGTGGTGGTGGTGATGGTGATGGTGGTGGTGGTGATGGTGGTGATGGTGATGGTGATGGTGGTGATGATGGCAAGCCCCATCTGTTTTCACTGGCTGTGGTCCTGGCACTGTGCTAAGCACTTTACCCAAGTTTAATCCTTACAAGCTCCTCATGAGCCAAGTATGATCATTATCACCCTTTGTTATAGATGACAAGACTGAGGCTCAGAGAGGTGCAGCCCCTGTGTGGAGTCACACAGCCAGATTCCACGTGGATGGTGACTGCAGGTCCTGGCCTTTGCCCACACTCCTCCTCATTACAAGTCAGAGGTCTCGAATCCAGACCCCAGCTCTGCTCCATGTGCTTACACTCCTAAAAACTACCGAGTACCCTAAGGGCTTTTATTGATGTGGGCCATATCTAGCAATATTCGCCATATTTAAAAATTAAAACTAAGACTTTTAAAAAACATTCACATATTAAATCATTAAAAATAACAATAGTAAACCCATATTTTTTTAATGAAAACTAATTGTATCTTCCAAGACAAAATATTTTAGGGGCCTGCCTGGTGGCACAAGCGATTAAGTGTGCGCACTCTTCTTCGGCGGCCTGAGGTTTGGCAGGTTCAGATCCTGGGCGCGCACCGACACACTGCGCGTCATGTCATGCTGTGGCGGCGTCCCATCTAAAGTAGAGGAAGATGGGCCCGGATGTTAGCTCAGGGCCAGTCTTCCTTGGCGGAAAATAAAAAGAGGAAGATTGGCATTGGACATTAGCTCAGGGCTGATCCTCCTCAAAAAACAAAAAAAATTTTAGTGAGAAGAGTGGCATTCTTTTACTTTTTGCCAGTCTCTTTGCTGTCTGGCTTACCAGGAAACAGCTGGATCCTCACAGCCGCTCCACATCCAGTCTGCCGGCATGAGTTGTTCTGGTGAAGTATATGAAGAAAATACCGTCTCACACAGAGACGGAGCTGGAAAGAGGAGGAGTGTTTCAGCAGCCTCTGCAGAGAGTTGAGGACATTCTTCTCTGATAAGTTTATGGAAACAGTTTGCCCCCATGGCCGGCTCCTGAGCACAGCTCTACTGTACACACATGCTCCTGTGCAGACACAGACGTGTGTGCAGCACTCGTGTAGCCCCCCAGGCCCCTCGGCCTAATCGGAAGGTCACTGCAGGCAGTGAGCGATGGCTTCCCGGGTCTCTGCCTGAAGGTGGAGCAGTCCAGACGCTAGTGGGCGGGAGGGTCTGATTAAGGCCCCTGGGAGCAGCCCTCCCCCAGTGAGGATGGAGTTGGTGTGTGAACTCCCAGCTTTCTCCGTCCAGGTGGGACAACGCTGAGAGCGTTCGGCTGCATCCCCCAGAGATCCCCGAAGGGATGGAGGCCCGGTTGCCCTTGCCAGTCACCCTCGGCGGTCACCTGCTCATGAACACAGCTTCTATTGGCTCCTTCCCTGTCTCACTTCCCCAATCCCTACTTCCTGGGACCATCTCCCAAACAAATGATTTCCCCAAATCCTCGTGTCAAGGTGTGCTTCTGGGGGCGCTCAAAGGCAGACTATGCACTCTTGCTGTGTGTATTTACTACAATAATGTTTATTACATTACAATTATTTTTGTAATTATATTATTACAATAATGAAACTACAGTAAATGCTCTCTAAACTACAGATTCTCTAATTAAGGGCTGAGCCCAGTGAGGTGACCGCAGGGACATGGTGAGGAGCGACTGCAGCTGTCCAGGTGGGGGATGAGGCTGCCTGGGACCAGGGCGCAGGGACAGAGCACGTGAGAAGTGCCAGATTCCCAAGGTCTTTTTTTTTGTGAGGAAGATCAGCCCTGAGCCAACATCTATTGCCAATCTTCCTTTTTTTCCCCAAAGCCCCAGTAGATAGTTGTATGTGGTAGTTGCACATCCTTCTAGTTGCTGTATGTGGGATGCGGCCTCAGCATGGCCAGACAAGCGGTGCATCGGTGCGCGCCCAGGATCCGAACCCGGGCCGCCAGTAGCAGAGCGCGCACACTCAACCGCTAAGCCACCAGGCCGGCCCTGGATTCCCAAGGTCTTAAGGTGCAGCTGTGCACTGACGCGAGACGGAACGCGGGGCTGAGGATGTCCGCGGGAAAAGCAAACTAGAGACCACAGCTGTCCCCCAGGCCAACCTCTGGGTCAACAGTTTAGGTCATCCCACAACTATTGAATGCCAACTGTATGCCAGACCCAGGACAGGCCCTGCTTGCAAAGAGATGGAGCCAATGGGCCTTTCAAGGAGTTGGTGTGAGGGACAGACCCAGGTCTTTCCCGTCTAGGATAGTGACCGCCTGGGTAGGCAGGCAGGCTCCGGCTCAGCCCAGCAGGGCAGCCTGGCCCGGTGGGGCCTGGGACTGAACCTCAGCTCCACCATCGTCAGGCTGTGTGCCCTGAAGCAAGTGGCTCAGCCTCTGTGGACTCCACTTCCTCATCCCTGACATGTGCATACTCACAGCACCCACGTCCCAGGTGGCTGTGTGGACCAGATGTGTCACCTTCTCAGGACCAGCCCTGGCACATGGCAAGCATATATGCTCTGGCCGCTAATGTTCGGTGCTTGGATCCCTTCTCCTGGTGGAGCTCCACCCCCGGGAGCTTGCTACCTCCCGTCTGGACAGCTCTTTTTGCAAGGCGGCCTTGGCCTTGCTCCATCCAGAGGCGGGGCCTCCATTCCCTCCCTGGAGCCTGGGTGGACCTTTGCAACCCCTTCAACCCACTGGTGGGGCAGAAGTGGCACTGCAGAACTTCTAGGGCTCAGTCCTAAAAGGGGAGATGGCCCACGTGCTGCTCTCGCCACCTCACCTGGGGAGCCTGGAGCCACCCTTAGGGTGCCATGCTGGAGAGACCACGGGGAAAGAGGCCATGCAGTCCCCGCTGTTCCAGCTCCCACGTGCCAGGCTCCCAGCGGCACTCAGTAAATACTGGAATGAAGGCACAGTCCCTGATCACCAAGTTTCTCCAGGGGAAACATCCACACACAGGATTCTAGCCCCTTCCCATCTGGTTTCTCTCCCCTCAAGGCATTCTAGCCAGGCTATATCCTCTCAGCCTTCCACGCCTACAAGCGAACATGACACCTCAGGTGGAACCTGAGCAGAACAGAGCAGAGAAGGGCTTTCACCTCCCTTATTCTAGACTCCATACTTTTATTAACACAGCCTCACGTGGATCAATCTTTCTGGCCATGTTTTAACCAACCCACTCAGAGGCACTGTAAGCAATACAGTATTGGGAAGGAATCGAGGCTACTTTGTAAAAATCTGAGCCATCACGAAGGGCTGCCAGGCCTCACAAGAGACCCAATCGGAAACCATTAAAAACCATCTGAGTTCATTGCTGTCTCTGGCTGTCTGCCCCTGGGACACAGGGTGCTCACTCTGTCTCCACACACAGTGGACAGTGACCATCCTACTCCATCTCACTTCCTGCAACCAGAGGAGACAGACGGTTGATTCCAGCTCGAATCTGGGTCCCAGAGAGGAGCTGATTGGCTCGGCTGCGTGCCTCTGGTCTAACCAGCGGTGACCGGGAGGCGGGGGTCACACAGTGTGGACGCGACGGCTGAATTCCATCATCAGAGGTGGGCCAGACAATTTTCTCAGAAGGAGCCGCCCCCAAGGCTGAAGTCTCCCCAAAAGCCTACTCTTCAGGGATCACATTAAAAATATGTGACACTGGCCCAGCCAGACCCTGCACCACTGCACGGACACCAGCCGGAGCACAGAGTGTCCTGAGGCCCCTGCTGCGCGACATGCCCCATGCCCCCTTCCCACTGGCTGTGAGCAGTGAACGCAGACCACACTCTTAGGTCCCCAGACTTGCAACACTGCTGAAACTTGGCCCCTCACCCCACACGGGGCAGACACATTCCACATTCCCGTTCTGGACTCTGCAAGACCCAGGTGAACCATCCTTCTAGGATTCAGCTCATCCCCAGAGGCATTCAGGACTTGCTTGTTTCTGGCTCCAGGCTCCTGCCCCAGGGCTGGTCCAAACCATAACCACCTGTACAAGCCTCTTTCCTTTCCAGGAATCCCCTTGAGGGGTCACACACCCGTGTGGTGGCTGGGTGGGGAGCCTCCCGAGGTGGTCTCTCTGGATTTCTGCCGATCCTGGGCCCCTCACACAGCCCTGGGAGGGCACGAGCCCAGTGCGGCACTCTGTGGTTCCAGGATGGCGGGTGGGCAGGTGGCAAGACAAATGAAATGCTGGTGGAGCCTGCTCAGCATTTTGGAGGCCCCGGAGAGGCCTCACAGCCGCATCCTCCCCACCAGCTTATCTACAGAGGGCAGGGGCTGGGCCAAACAGCTGGCCGGAAGCCTGATCTTGAACAGTCACTTGTGGTTAGGTCCAGCTGCCTCTACCTTTCCAAGACCAGGTCTTTATTTTCTAAATGTGAAACAGAGAGTGGAGAACCGTCTCGTCGCTGGGAGAGAAGACCGCGCCCTCCCTCCTGAGGAGCAGCTATGAGCCAAAAGATTTACAAGGTCCCCTTAAGAAGAAGCTGTGCCTGTAATTTATGCCCCAATTACAGTTCTAGAATCCGACAAGCTTCCCCTCTTTAACGCATAGCAGGCTCGAATGTGGAGGGTTCCATTTGGACTCACGTCAATTCCTGTCTCCAACCCCCAGCCACTGTTTTAAGAAATACATTTCACGTGGCGGCCCAGAGCAAACACACCAAAACAGGGCTGTACCAAAACGCAGCCTTCAAAGCGCTGGCCGGAACCTTCTGCACTGTCGGCCGCTAATAACCTGCTACTGGCTGTTTACACGATCCGGGTCTAGCTGCCCACCCCCTTTATTACCTACGGGAGACTCGAGGCCTCGCCCCACCGGCCGCAGCAACCCCCAACTTTCTCTCCTGTCATTTTGCGGCCGTCAGTGGCGTCACGCAACCGGCGCTTCTGTTCCTTTAGCTTTTTGTTTTAATAGGCACAAGTCATGCTCTTTACAGCAAACTTGGAGGAGATGGAAGAGTGAAGCCCCCCTCAACCCTCACTTCCTCCCAAGACAACCCTTAGATTTCTTTTCCTCCCCGATCTGCAGACCCAGGACCGGCCGGACCACATTCCTCCGCGGGAATTTCGGGCACCGAAGCTGCTCATCTGGCATCAGGGTCTCAAGTGTCCAGACAAGTTAAGCTTTAGGCTCTAAGAATCAGCACTTCTCTTCAATTTAGCCATCTTAACCGCCATTCTTTTTTTTAAATAATAGCTTGACTGAGATATAACTCACATATCATAAAGTTCACCTTTAGAAAATGTGTACACTTCAGTGGTTTTAGTATATTCGCTTAATTCTAGAACGTTTTTCTTCCTGAGGTGAATTCCCCGGCCCCCGCGGGGTGGCCTCTGGCAAGCGGCCCGCGACCCAGCCTCATTGTCCCCGTCGGTACCGCGGGCGCCAGACTCCGGGTCACGTGCCGGCCCCGCCTCCTGACCTAGCGCGCCTGCTCAGCGGGACGCTCACGTTTCATCACGCTGTAAATTCAAGCTGGAAGCAGCCTAGCATTTTCCTGTTAAACACCTAGTATCATCTGCCGGGACGGCCCTCGCCTGGCGTGCACCCCGGGCCGCGCCGACCGACCCCGCGAGACCGCGGACGCCCCCACGCTCTGGGAGAGGCCGCGCTGCAGCACATGCGCACGGCCGGCACAGCCCGAGAGCGCCAGCGCGCCTGCGCCCGGGCGCGTCCAAGTCCCGTTTCCCCCTCCCCCCGTCCTCGCGCGGATGGTTCCGGCCGCGGCGGGGCGGGGCCTGGCTGCCGCGCGAAAATCGGCGGGAAGCGCGGCGCC